ATCTCCCCAACCCTTATTACACATAAGGATAGCTGGATACCTTAGTTTTAAAATTCTGCCCCAGAAATTCTAATTCAGTTCCTGTACAGGTTTGTCTGTAAGTTTATAAAACCCCTGTCCCTATGACCGTATGCTTTGGAAACCAGTGGGGCCGGTCTGCCCTCCCTCCATCTTATCTGTTACCAGCTGCCACCACAGATGTCACTGTGCCCCTCTGCTGCCTGCTTTTAATCTTTCTGTCATTTCCAGATTGAGGAAAAGCAGGCATGTTGGCATGGGCAGACTCCTATGGGTATGAAGTGCTGGGCCAGGGTCAGGCCTCAGGGTCCCCTCGCCACTCTGCGCATGCTTGTGACTAACCTGCCAGACCTCAGTTCCATGTCTGCACCAGGTCCGTCTGGCGCTCACGTAGCAGTGGCTGTGCTCATCGGCGTGGCGTCTGTGCAGTCCAAGCGCACGGTCAGGAGTGGCTGTTCTTTAGGGTGACATTGAGCTTCCTGTTACAAGCCCAGAGTGGGGACTGGTGTAGGCTTCAGGGGCCCTCTTGGCTTGCACACTCAGCATGTGAGGCGGGGGAGCTTCATGCCTTGTTGACTTTTATTTTTTGGTGAGTGAAGGGTTATTTGTTGAAGGGCAGCTGCACTGTATTTGGGCCTAAGACCCCTAGGCTCTAGCCCAGCAAATATTTATGCTTAATTACAAGGTCTTTTTTTTTTTCTTTTTGGTAACCGAATTGAACTGAGGACCTTTCACTTGACAAGCAAGCACTTATTCTACTGAGCTATCTCCCCAGTCCATCCAAGGTCTTTATGACTGTTCGTTCTCTGCAAACAGCCTCGTAGATCTGCCAGCAGCACTTGCATGCTGCCCAGCTACCCCTCCAGTCCAGGGCACCCCGAGATGCCTTCCCGCCCACTGCCCTGACCCTGCCCTCTCCTGCAGGACGGGCTGTACGAGTGCATCCTCTGCGCCTGCTGCAGCACTAGCTGCCCCAGCTACTGGTGGAATGGAGACAAGTACCTGGGGCCTGCGGTCCTCATGCAGGTGAGATGCCCCCCCCCCGGCCCTCGCTGCCCTTGGGACTGGACAGCACCAGACAGCCAGGAGGGTGGCGCATGCTGAGGGGGACGCTATACTTCACTGGCTACGCCAGGTTCACTTGGCTTTTAGGAAATCTGGACTCCTGGCACCATGAGCCTTTGTGGCAGTGTGGCAAAAGTCCCCTGGTGGGCTGGGTATGCACACTGCCACAGTGCCTTGCACTCAAGAGCCATATTCCCAGGCAGGGCCAGGGAGATAGCTCAGTGGCTTAAGCGTCTGCCTGGCAAGCACAAGGTCCTGAGTTCTGATTGACAGCACCAAAAAAAAAAAACCCCAGTGCATATTCCTGGGAGACCAGCCGTGCCCACCATGTGCCCGCACCTGTCACAGGCTCCCATCTGCGCACACAGCCTGCTAGTGAGCATAAGCCATGAGGCGGGAAGCTGCTAGGCTAGTGGCTGCTGAGAGAGAAAGTGGCGCTGTTTGTCATTCCCTGTCTCCACGTGTACACATTCCTTGTGCTTTTTTAAATTTGTGGTCAGTGATTTTAAGATTCTTCAGCAGCTCAGAGGATAGTTCACATATGTCATTTTCCCATAAAACGAGAAGTTGCGTGACCACAGAGCAGTATTGGTTCCCAGCCACAAGCAGATTGAACAGTCAGTACACTTGCCCTGTCTCCCACTGGGGCCTCCTGGGATGCTCTGGAGTGGCCAGGCCCACACGGGCTTGCGGTCTCGGGCTGCTGGAGCAGATACATGAAAGAGGCCGTGAGTGGGACAGCTGTTCCCTCCAGGCACATCCCTTAGGTCACAGGTTCACTCAGCAGCAGTGCCAGGCTAGCACAGGCAGGCCCGTGAGGACCGGCAGAGAGTGTGGCACAGCACTGCCTTTGCCAGTCACAGGCTGGGTCAGAAGCTCCTGCGCAACTAGAAACCATTGGGAGCTGACACCCAGGGGCTAAGTCAGCACCAGGGCACTGAACACAGCAGGGATCGGTAATCCAGCAGACCTGTGAAGGGTCAGTGTGCGAGACAGCATGTGGGGCAGAAGGGCTCCCTTCTGCCACGGCTGCGGCCTGGTTCATGACCTGGTTGCAGGCATACCGCTGGATGATCGACTCCAGGGACGACTTCACAGAGGAGCGCCTGGCCAAGCTGCAGGACCCGTTCTCGCTGTACCGCTGCCACACCATCATGAACTGCACACAGACCTGCCCCAAGGTAGGCGGGCTGGGCCCCGGCTGCTGCAGGTGAGGGGACCAAGGTGTGCCTGCCGTCTCGGGGAGCTTAGGGCTAGTGTGGCTGGTCACAGGCCTCTCAGGGGAGGCTTTACTTGGCGGGGTCGTGGGGATGGGTACCTATAAACAGGACCCTGTGGTCAGCCCGACTCCACATGCACCAGATGGTGAGAGCCGTCAGATACTGGCAGCTATGGGCAGCAGTGTCCCTGCACATGGCTAGCTCAGTGTCAGCTGTGAACTGCCCCCTCCAGAGCCAGCTGTAACTTCCCTGCTTCCAAAGCTTTCCTGGTCTCTAAATCCCCTGTCCCTCATACTCGCTGCTGTCCTTGTTGTCAGCAGCCTGGACTCATCTCCAGTCCCTCAGCTGCAGCCCCCTCTGTCCTGTCACCATGCAGCCATCTCAGATCTATGTCAGAACCCTGGGTTCTGCCCAGTAAGCAGAAACCGCCAGGCAGAGGGTCAGCGGGCACAGGCGGACACGAGGGTAGAAATAAATGCAGCAGTCTTCGCAATCACAAAATCACAAAGGTCGAGCCAGCCTGGAAACTGCTGTGTTCCCACAGCCCACCTCCTTCACCTCTGGGACCAAAGTCCAGGCTGTGACAGCCTGTTACCATCACCTTCCAGCAGGCCCTGCCCCTGTGAACTCAGGCAGAAGTGCCCAGTGCAGGCGTTGACAGCTGCACAGCTGTGTCTGTGGCCCTTCCTGCCTCACGCCCCACTCCTCTGCCCTTCTACCTCCTGCATTCCAGGGCTGCTTCCGTGTTAATGTAAGGGTCTTCCTCAAGATCTCCTTTCCTTCCTTTTTCCCTTCTCTTTTTTCCTTTCTTTGCACACAAGTGTCAGGGCTAGAGCTATCCTTCCAAAACAAGGGCCCTTCCCCAACTCGTAAGTCCTCTCTCTTTGCCACTTACCTGCTGGCCTCCCTCCAACTCCTGTGAAGCTGGCGTCCTCTGGATGCACCCAGGCAGGTGCAGCAGGTACAGCTGAGTCCCACACTGGTGCTGTCTGGAGACCCCCGGGGCTGGCTCCTGCACACACTGCTGATGCCGAGGGGAAATGGCCTCCAGACTCAGAGCTGCGTGGCCAGTGGGAGCACCGGCTGTCACTGCCCTGCCATCGAGCAATCAGGGATGCAGCATGGTCCCTGCCTGGGAGTGCCAGCCTCTTTTAAGTGTCTGCTTCACAGGCCAGAGGGAAGGAGCACTGGCCCAGGCCTTTTGCCTGCCTTAGTGAGACAGCCATGGGTTTTCCCAGGGGTCTGTGGGTCTGCCCCTGCCCCTCCACTTCTGCCACCTGTGTCCATGATTCTCTTCTCTTCTCTTAAGGGTCTGAATCCAGGGAAAGCGATTGCCGAAATCAAAAAAATGATGGCGACCTACAAGGAGAAGAGAGCTGCCATTTAATGTGGCTGCTGGCTGTGGCGGCCACCAGCTCAGAGCAGGACATAATTTATGTCTAATTGGGATTCCTTGCCAGGTTGTGATTTTCCATGAACATTGCATGTATAATAAACATTTCATGAAATAAATGTTACTCTACTTTACTAACAAAAACCAGGCCTGTTCTTCCATGCAGCTGCGCCCTTAGCCTTGGAGAGCGGGCTGTGCCTCCAGGGCCAAGCCAGTGGATGCGTTTGGTGGACAGAGGGGCCCAGCTTGCGCCCCTTGAACAAGTTCCTTCCCTCCTCGTGCCTTACACTGCCCATCTGTGAACTGGAAGTCGCAGCTGCACCCGCCTCGTGTGTGGTGACAGTGCCAGTGCTTAGGGTGGTGAGAACATGGGCCACGGGTTGATGCCACTGTTCCCAGGGTTAGGGTTTGGTCTCTGTGCTGTGATCACTGTGCCCGGTCACCCAGATGACGTGGAGGGACTGGTCCCTGCAACGCCAGTTCCTACCGCCGCTGCCACTGACCGAGCTCACCGCATGGCCTGAACGCTCACTGGAGTAGACTTGCGGGCGATGCAGAAAGTAAGCCAGCGAGCCCTTCCAGGCCCGTCTCATTCCATCAGCAGTCATGTTTCTGTCTGGTATTTGTTAGCACAAACACATGACAGATACCATATAATACTTCCTTCAAGTGACGGAGGCTGTCGAGTCCTTTCAAAGGCTCCCTGAGCCCGTCGACTAGACAAGATGAGCAAAGCTCACCCTCCCGAGCTGAAAAAATTGATGGACAAGAAGTTATTATTGAAATTGAATGGTGGCAGACATGTCCAAGGAATACTGCGAGGATTTGATCCCTTCATGAATCTTGTGGTAGATGAATGTGTGGAGACGGCAACTAGTGGGCAACAGAACAACACTGGGATGGTGGTAATACGAGCAAATAGTGTCACCATGTCAGAAGCCTTGGGACAAGTGTAAATAATGACTGCTCAGCAGAAAACTTCATGCCCCTCCTCCAAGTGCTACTCTCACTGGCTGAAGACTGGGTCATACACATTTTCATATATTAAATTTTTGTTAAACTTTTTTAAAAATTATTTATTTATTTATTTATGTCATTTATTTTGTGTGTGTGGCCAGCTCAACCCACCAGGGGGTGGGGCGGGCTGGCATGTGGTGCTGGGGGATTGAACCGCGTTCCCTGTGCTTTGCTTAGCTTAGCTTGTTCTAAGTAGGTGCTTTAGACCACTGAGCCATCTCACCAGCCCCCTAAATAAACTTTTGTAATAGTCAAAAATGCTTCCCAGATATTCAGTACAAAAATAGAAGATGAGCTCTTTCTAAAATAAATTTTCTTGGCGAGATGAATAAAAAGAATACTTCCTTCAAAACCAGTACAAGCAGGCATGGTGCACTCGCCTGTAATCCCAGCACTTGGGAGGCTGAAGCGGGATTGCCGCAAGTCTGAGGCCAGCCTGGGCTACAGAGTTCAGGATCATCCTGAATTAAATAACTGACACTGCTTCCACAAAAAAAATAAAATAAAAATAATACCATGTCATCTGTTAGGTTAATGTATTTACCTCACAATACACATATAAGACTAATAAACACCTGCCTGAGGGCATATGTGCGTATAAAATTATATTTTCTGCCTTAGTCTTTGTAACTGTGCTTACGTGCTCCAATTTACTTTACCCTGATACTGAGGATTGAACTCAGGGCCTTTCTACTGGGTTATATCCCAAGCACTTTTCAAAAAAAAAAAAAAATGTTGATTTTCTTTGAGACAAGGTGACAGGGTCTTGCTGTATAATTCAGGTTGTCCTTGGACTCATTGTGTAGCCCAGGCTAGTCTTAAACTCGAAGTGATTTTCCTGCCTCAGCCTCCGAGAGCTTAAATTACAGGCATGCAACTCCATGTCTAGCTTCAAAAGAAATTTGAGACAGGGTCTCCCAGCATTACCTGCACCAGATTGGTGTTTTTCGTTTGTTTTGGTGTGGACTGGATTTAAACTTGGTGATCCTCCTGTCTCAGCCTCCCAGAGCTCTGGGATTCTACATGCACACTGCCACCACAGTTCTCTTATTTAGCCATTGTCCTGTGTTTAAAACAAAACCATGTCTGTGGTGGTTGATACATTGTGTCAACTTCAGATGTCCCAAGCTTGGCTGGATGCGCTTGCCAATTCCGCGTCCTGGGCCGTGGGGCACCCTAGGGCAGCTGGGGCCCACCCTAGAGTGACTCAGCACAAAAAGGGCATATAAAGGGGTTGAGGAAAAAGAGCAGGGTCGCTGCAGTGACTATACCTGACAGTGTAAATTATGAGCTTTTGGGAGTGGCTTATGGGTAGAGAGAGAAAAGGTTTAGAGATGTCACCTACTATCAAGGAACTGGAATGCTTTTAGCTCCTCTGTATGGGAGATTCTGGTTAGAGCTCAGAAGACCAAAATGAGGATAAAAATCCTGCCTGTAAAGACCAGGCTGGGAAGGTTTCTGCTGGAAAGAAGGACTGCATTGGTTGTTAGACTGCAGATGACATGGGCTATGGCTGGCAGAAAGTTTGTGTACATTTTCCTCCTATCCAGAGACTTTGCCTGAGACTGAGATTAAGCACAGTGGACTAGTTAATCTTGCAAAAAGAAAAGAAAAAAAAAGTCTCAAAGCAGTCAAATGTTGAGGCAGCAGCATGGCTATTGTTGCGGCTTTTAGTCACATATATGTTGAGAGTCAAGAGCAAAGAGCCCAACAAGATAATTTAAAATATGAGTTTGGCCCAAAAAGAAAAAAAAAAATAAATAAATAAATAAAGTGTCAGAAGGCGTGGAATGCAAAGATAGAGCTGAGATCTGCATTACCCAGAAGGAACAGAAAAATAAAAAAGATATCCTGAGGGCATCACAGGAGGTGGCAGGCCCAAGCCCTTTGCAGTTCTCAAAATTGCAAGGGTAAGGAACTTTGCTTTGTGGAGAAAGCTGCAGAGCCCCATGTTCCAGAATAGAGGCAGCAGTCACACCAGATTCCAAAGTGGGGCCACCATAGAGAATTTGTTCCTCAAAACCAGGGTCAGAGTGCTTAACAATCCAGGCACCGGACCCCTACAGCCGAGAAAAAAAAAAGCCCGGCTACTGTTCCAGCTGGCAGCAGACCTTGGCATGATCTACCTGGCGTTGGTTTAGGCACATTCAAAATGCAAGCGTGGGGGGCCGGGGAGATGGCTCAGTGGAATAAGTGCTTCCCTGGCAAGCGCAAGGGCCTGAGTTCAATCCCCGGTTCTGCCAAAAAAAAGCAACAGTTCTGAGGTTACAAAGGTTTCCACCTAGATTTCAAAAGCCCCAGGAGGCCAGGCAGGGATCCCCTGAGAGGGCAGTGTGTAAAACAGAGAATAAAAAGCCTATTCAGTAAAGACCCCACAAGTTTAAAAGTAGATTGCCTAAAAAAAAGCTGCAAGGCGAGAGCAAAGCCAGCCCCCCAAAAAAGCTGTGGGAGCTACCAACAGAAGTGCCGTAGGGGTGGAGCCACATAAGGCTTTTGGAGCTCTCGACCGGGCCAGATTGCTTCAGATGGTCCACACAAAACTGTAAGACTTAATGTTTGCCCCCTAGAGTTTCAACTTGTGTTGGTCCCAGTGGTTTGTATCCTGCTGTGTGTGCCTTTTTAAATGGCAATGTTTAGCTTATGCCTTTAAATGTTAGAAGTGTTTAACTTTTCATTTATACAGTGGCTCACAGCCAAGAGTTTGCCTTAGATCTTGGAGACTTTTCAGTATTGCTGAAACTGTGAAGACTTGGGCAACACTTGCAGATAGACCAAGTGCCCTTTACATAAAGGGGTGTAGGGCCGGGGAGATGGCTCAGTGGAATAAGTGCTTCCCTGGCAAGCGCAAGGGCTTGATGCGGAACCAGGAATTGAACTCAGGCCCTTGTGCTTGCCAGGGAAGCACTTACTCCACTGAGCCATCTCCCCGGCCCGATATTTCTTGTTTAATGACCGACCTGTGTGCCTGCTCCTCAGACTTAATGACTGAGCCGTGCTGTTCAGATTTACCGCCCACTACTCAAAAATCCAATACAAGGGGCCAGGGCTAGCTTAACAGCACAAGCACGTGCCCGGAAACCTCACGGTCCTGAGTTCAATTTCTGGTGCCCCTCCCCCCACAAATAGAAGGAAAGGAAAAGAAATGCAACACAGAACGCAAGCAGCAGAGCAGCCTGCTGGCGGCTTCTTCCACGGCGCTTGCCGTCATTCCCGCCGATCGTACTGGACAGCGCTGGAGCTTCATGTTCTGTTATACATTATAAGTAAGAGTTATGCAAATAAAAGCGAAGTCATCAACTTGGAGTTTCCTTCGACCATTCCTTCGTCCTAGTTTGCAATGTGCATGCTGTATGCAATTCCTCCCGTAGCAGTAAATTCAGGTAAGGGGGCTTGCGGGTTAGCTCAGTTGTCTAAGCGCCCACTTGGGCAAACCCAGTCAGGCGTAGGGGACTTGGGTTCGATATCCAGACCCAGCCCTAAGGCAGCCTGAGCCAGCACCCCCAAAATAAATAAACAAATAAATAAATTCATTTAAGGAACTCACACAGGAGTAGAATAGGGTCCTTCAGTGAGGCGTATCTGCATAAGAACAAAGACCCTGGCTTCAGTCCCCAGTCCCAGGAAAGGAGGAGGTGGCTGTTCAACACACATTAGCCTCAGGAATTGTAGGAACTGAGGTTCTGAGGGCACACAGCAAAGAGACTTATTTCCTTCCGTCTAGGAGCCAAAGTTATAAATTAAAAAGAAACACTGAAGCCAGGTATGGTGGCGCATGCCTGTAATCCCAGCACTCAGGAGGCAGGTATGGTGGCGCATGCCTGTAATCCCAGCACTCAGGAGGCAGGTATGGTGGCATATGCCTATAATCCCAGCACTCAGGAGGCAGGTATGGTAGTGCATGCCTGTAATCCCAGTACTCAGCCACATAGGGGTCTTGTGGGCCACTGTCTCTCTCGCCCCATTTGCATTCAAGCTAAATTGGAACATTGGCTACTAGTAGTTTAATTCACATCTATTTACTCGTTCATCACACTGAAAGCAAATGTTTAGTTTTTGGCTTTTTGAGACAGGATCTCATGGTGTAGTTCAGGCCGGTCTTGAACTCACAATGAAGCCCAGGCTGGCCTCAAGTGTGCGGCCATCCTCCTGCCTCAGCCTCCCAACTGCTGAAATTACAGGCTTGTGCCACGCTGCCTGGCCTCACACAGAGTTCGTTAATTAGTGTGTGTGTTTGTGGTCCTGGGGATTGAACTCGGGCCCCTGCACTTTTCAGCAAGGTGCTTATGCCCCTGAGCTATCTCCCCGGGCCCTGTTTGTGGCTCATAATAATCACAGTCATCTTGGGGAACTGACACACATCCACATCACATCTAGATTATTTTTACTTCCCCTCTTCTAATAAAAGGGCAAACCCAAACCCAGAGAACAGAGGGTTCTGGCAGAACCAGGGATTGAACTCAGACCCTTGCGCTTGCCAGGGAAGTGCTTATTCCACTGAGCCATCTCCCCAACCCCCATGAACGGAGGGTTTTGTCCCTTGTGTTTCTTGTATGTCCATAGCATGAGTCTCTATTTACAATACTATTATAGCGCCGGAGGTCCTGAGTGCAGCCGGACAAGGCTGGGCCCTGGAGAGGTCAGCGCAGAAGACAACTGCGGCTGGAGGGGCACTCGCTGAAGGCCAGGCTGCGAGGAAAAGAGCTGCTGGCCGTGCACTTCCCCGGGACTGACAGCAGTGACTGACATTCTAAGTAGGTATTAATCACCTTGGTGTGGAGGACCGGACCTCCCTCCCCGACCCCTTCCAGGAGAGCCCCTGTCCGGCCCAAGCATTCTTGCTAAGCGACGTGTTTCCCCCTTTGATCCCCCATTTAATCACTGGTACCCAAGGTCTATACTTGTTGTAACCTTACCGGCTCACCAAAGCCTTTTCCCACCTCATACCCACCCTGTGAGTTCCCACTGGATCAATATTAGGTAAATGTGGACGGCAAGAGAGCTCAGCGGTCTAAACCGTCTGCTCAGGCAAGCTTAGGCAGCCCAGGGGACCAAGGTTCAATCCCCGGCACCCCATGCCGTGCCAGCTCCACCCTCGGGGCAGGCTGAGCCCACCTCCCTCACAGAAAAAAATTAGCTAAGCGACTATACATGTAATCTGATTGATGGCTTATCCTTCTGTCCCACCTTAAACCCACCTCACCTCCTGGCTTTGCCCAATAAACAGCCTTGAGAAGTGGGGTTGGTGGGCAGTCCACTTTCTCTGCCACCTTCTGTCCCTCTCAGAGAGAAGCTTTCTTTCTCTCAATAAATTCTTCCTACTCTTAACCTCTATTTTTCCTAGATTTCATTCCTGGACATTAGAGAACGCAAACACCATTTTGGACATCTAGCAGGTTGGGAGTCCTATTTCCTCTCTATCAGTTTCATTAGGTCTTTGGCCAAATTGCTGATCCTGGGTGCTTCTCTAAGTACCTATAAAATGGGAATTAAAAAGCATTAACTTTGGGGCTGGGGAGATAGCTTGGCGGACTAAGCGCTTCCCTGGCAAGCGGAAAGACCCGAGTTCGATCTCCAGTAGTACTGTGCCAACCCCAGAACCCAGGCACACTGTGCCAGCCACTGAAACCAGGTGTGGGGGCACATACCTATTATCCTAGCGCTGGAGAGGCTGAGACAGGTGGATCACTAAGAGTCCAAGGTGCATAGTGAGACCCTGTACCAATTAAATAAATAAAGATTTTTAAAAAGCATTCACTTCCCAGAATCTCACTACTTGAAATCGAAATAAGAATAAATATAAATCAGGAATGGTAGTGCATGCCTCTAATCCCAGTACTTGGGAAGCTTAAACAGGAGGATCGCCAAGAGTCTGAAGCCAGCCTGAACTACATAGTGAGACCCTATCTCAAAAAAAAAAAAAAAAAGGCTGGTAGGCCGGGGTGATGGCTTGGTGGAATAAGGCTTCCCTGATAAGGGCAAGGGCCTGGGTTCTGCAAAAAATAAAAAAAAAGGCTGGCCAAATAGCTCAGCAGATTAAAGCACCTGCAAGCAGGCACAGGGACCAGGGATTCAATCCCCCGTCCTGCTGTGCCAGCCCCGGCCCCCAAGGCACGCTGAGACAGCAATTGAGACTGGGCGTGGTGGAACACGCCTATAATCCCAGCTCTTGGGAGGCTGTAAACAGGTGGATCACTACAAGTTCGATTTAGTAGTGAGACCCTGAACCCTCTGTAGATCCTTTCCTAAAAATACAAAAAAAAAAAAAAAAAAAAAAATATAAAAGGCCCCGCACTGTGGTGCTCACACGTTCAAGGCCAGCCTGGTCACCTTAGCAAGTCTGTCTCAAAGTTTTAAAAAGAGACAGGATATAACTCATTGCTCCCTGGATTCAATCCCCAGTACCACCAATAAAAATTACAAATTTAAAAAAAAAAAACCCTAACTATGTCCAGAATCTTCTAATTGCTTAGAGGCCTGTAAAGCCAATTAAATTCCTGCCCTCCAGGGTCAACAGCATTTGTATTTTCGGGAAGGGTCTACAGGATATTCAGGGTCTCACTACTAGATTGGATTTATAGTGATCCACCTGTTTACAGCCTCTAAGAACTGGGATTACAGGCCAATAGCTTTGAGTGCTTCTTTTTCATTAGTGTTTGCAGTCTGTGATGACAACAGGTATGTGACACACCTTAGTTATTTTTGGGTTTACTTCCCTGGTTTTGTATATTCTGGCACAGCTGGCTGGTTCCAAGATTGGGTTTTCTTTTTTTTTTTTTTTTTTTTGAGCGGAACCGGGGATTGAACTCAGGCCCTTGAGCTTGCCAGGCAAGCAGAGTTTGGGTTTTCTGTGCAAAGCTAAGAATGTTGTGGGCTGGCAAGCTAGCTCAATGAAGTAAGCACCTGCTTAGGCAAGGGCAGGGACCAGGATTTGATCCCAGGCACCAAGACCAGGTGTGGTGGTACACACTTGTAACACCAGTGCTGGGGAGGCTGAAAACAGAAGGATCACCAGAGTCCAAGCTGTGCAGTGAGACCCTATACCAAATACATTAAAAAAATTTTTTTTAAAAAGCTAATAATGTCCATTCTTCCTCTCTCAGTGCCTGGGAAGGCCCCTGGCTCAAATTCTCTTCTAGCCCTTCCCCTTCCCCGGGTAACTATGGAACAAATTGCTGAAAGTCTACTTCCCTGTGCGTCTAGACAGTCATAATCTTACCATGGGGTCCCTTGTCCTCCTCACACAGTCCCCAGAGGGCCACAGCCCTGGAAGGAAGCCGTCCCATTGGTCCTGGCCACGTGTGGCTAGAAACTGCTGCCCTAGCTATCTGGGAAGGGAGCCGGGCCCACAGACCGCAGGGACAGACCACACAGTGGGAGCCACTTCCCCAGAGGTAACCCCGGCAGCTAGCATGGTGGAGAAGGGTCAAGCCTCAGGGCTGGCCCTTTCCCAGATGGCTGAGGACAGAGCCGCAGCACTGTCAAGCAGCATTCAAAACACAGAGAATGCAGGGAACAACCTTGCAATGCAGTCCCCACATCCCTGCTTTTATGAAGCATGATATATACCCAGTGAATGCTACTGTCATCCCACTGAAATGCAGGCTCACAAAAACACTACACGTGTCTTCCTCCCCTCTATT